TCAATAGAAAAGTCACCCTCGAAACCTGCATTACTATAGATCAGCAAAGAAATTTTCCGAATTGCTAAAAATTTTCCCTTTACTGGCATTTTTCGTTTTCGTCCCTGCAAAGACAGCAAAGGCATATAAAGTTATACAAACCCTTCAAAAAATTCAAGTTCTGTTAATTCCTTTCTCAAGTAAATAACGATACAATGTTGTAACTCATCTGATTTACAGAATATACTCCTCCTAGCTTATGTAGCCCCTGTTTGGCCACCCATTAAATTACATTACATTACATTAAATTTCTCTGTCTCTTCATTACAACCACACATTCATCAAATAAAATAATATTACACACAAATCTAAAACTTTTCATTACTTTTCCACCACACATTCTCCCATCAATCACGATTCCAAAAATTTTCAACCATCCAAAATGCAAAATAATGGGGGCCAAACAGGGGCGTAATTTGCACTGAATTACAGTCAAGAATTGACACTCTTATGCATAATTTTAAAACAAGGATGATATTCCAAGCCATAGAATTCTGATATACCTTTCGAAGATTTTTGAATACCATCATCAACATCCATCCCGTCGCTATCACTGTCTGCTAAGGCAGAATGACTCTGTACTGAACCTTGCAGTAAATCTTCCAGATCCCATAGCTACATCCATAGAAGATGGAGGAAACTATGTTGAAGGCACGGTAATTTTCTAATGCCAATATGACTTTTGAATCTCTACAAAAATTCATCTGAGAGAGAGAGAAGAATGCACCTTTAATGTCTGATCATGAGAAATGCTTCCAAGAAACTTTCTGTCATGAGAAAAAGCTGCAACGTCAAATTACACCTTGAGTTAGAGATACAACATGACAACATCTAAAGATTAAAAATTTACTTCGAGTTTATCTTATTTTAACATACGAATGGGCAAATCGAGAAAATGAACTGGTCTCCTCAAGTTAATTAAAAAAGAAGAAGAAGAAACCCACTTTTCTCTCCTAAAGGATTGAAAGAAAGTCATACCAAGACGTTCCACAGGGTATTCAGAATGCTCGGCAATTGGCTGGATTATTCTGTTTGGTAATATGCCTACCAAGCTAAACAGAGTATAAGAAAAATATAATTCAATCTACAGATGAATACGTAAGTCAATTGGAGAAGCTAGTCCTGTTCTGAGAAGAAACGTTTCACCTGATTATTCCATTCTCGGATCCAGTTATTACTCTATCTTCATCAAGCTTAAGCCCAATATCAGGGATCAGGGATAGAAGAAAAGAAAATTTTAGGATTAAAGAAGGTTAACATTCTGATAATGCTAAAAATAATTACGACATTATAATGAAAAATCAGTTACCTTCAGCAAGGCATCAACAGAGTTAGGAGAGAGATCAACGAAGCGATCACTAAAAATTTACAGGACAAATACATAATCAAAAATCCAATCAACAACTAACATTATATTCCCCACCAAGGAGAAATTCACAATTTACTGTATAGTTGGTTAGATTACAATTAAGAGAAAAGGATACCTGCAATCCTTGAAAAATCCCCATGAATACAATAACAGGGTTCCAGTCTGTGTTCCACATATAACCTTTCGACCATTCTAGTCACACAAATAAACAGTTAGACATATCTAAAAGTAGTAACAAATATCTAGTTTTCAAATGATATAAGCAATCAAAGCAAGTATTCATGTTGTTTTAATGGGCTATCTTTTGAATGCAGTCGGTAAATTTAACCTTCATGACCACCACAGAAAGAAGCTCATCTTCAGAAAACTCTGATCGAGTTTGAACCTGCAATGACATGATACCACAGAGATTTAGTTATCAACTGAAATAAGTTGTAGGTTGAAAGAAATATAAATTGGCTATAAGGCATGGAGGGTAAATACGACAGGAAGTCAAATACTTCAAATGCTGAAGCAACAAAAAGAATTACCTTGTTACTTCTTAGATTGCAAACAGATAGAGTACCATCACCGCTGAAGCAAAAGAGACATAATTATAAGGAAAATTCTACTTGTACATAATTTTCATCCATAATGGTACACATAATACTCACATGGGGTGGGACCCACTTCCATCCCATGTGAGTATTGTGTGAACCCTAATGTACCACCAGCACTTCTCTAATTAGAATACATTAGTCAAGAGACTTAACCTAGGCAACATTTAAAAAAGATATAATAACATTATGACATCACATGGAAAAGCATTAACTATGCAAGTTAATAGTGAATAGAGATATTTTACAGCATGAGAAAAACTACGCGGAACCAATATTTGCACCTTGGAGTCCATGCACATTAGGATGCATCGAAACCCTCCCAGTGCTGGCAAATCGGTGTCTGACGCCACGTGGCGCATCCAAATATTTCTTGATTTTGTAAATTTAAGACACATTATTGATACATCGTCAGAATTTTTTTAAAAAATCACTTCACAATATAAAAAATATATTATTTAATTCGTGCATCGCGTCGCGTAGGTACTTTTTTGAAAAATTGTGGGTCAGAGTGTCCATGTTAGTGCTCCC